AAGAAATTATAAGTGTAGTATCGCGATAACAAATAATTAAATATATTTCAAATATTTTATTTCACTCGAACTCAACTTTATGCTGAATAACAGGATCATTTCTACTTCAATAATTAACTGATTATTTCAATCAAAATATCCTCTTTCGTTCATAACTGGGATCATTTTATGAGCCAGTTTCACCGCATCAGGGTTTCTAAAAACATCCATTTTAGTTTCACCTGAGAGCTTTTTAAGAACCACAGTGAAGTCTTCAGTATCCTCCTTATTCGCCATCATTCGTAAATAAAGTACGATTCCAGAGAAAACTGCGTATATTCTTCGTTTGTGTAATGCGTCTTTTAATTGTTGCATCGTTGGTGGTTTTGTTTTGCAACCTATGCTTCTCATAGTTTCTTTCAAAGTATTTAAATAAATTTTCAAAAAGTAGTCGTCGTTATCGTATTTAACACTGAACTCGGGACAAATGTTCAGGAAATATATTAAATCGATGACTGGAGAAGTGTAAACAGCCATTTGATAGTCGACCTGAAAGTAAAATTTAAAAAAAATTAATTTTTCATTTATTTTTCCAATTATTTTATTCCTGTAACATACTATAGTGCCCACTTCAAGTTTTGAGGTTGTAATGTTTTCAGATTATATTTTAAATTATTACCAACAAATTGAAGATAGCATCCATTGTTATTTTATCTGTAATTGTACAATGTCCATACAATGTATTCATTCAAAACAATGTTAGTATATTACGATTTTAAAAATTTTTGACTTTTGACCTTTGAAGGCGTGGTTTTTTAAGTCTATACAATGGAGGCTTATATACCATCCTACGTCTCTGCAAATGTTCTATCTAACCTTGTTTCCGGGTGACATCCATTTCTCTCTTCCACTAATTATCCCGATAATGAGCTCTTTATTCGAGTATTAATAAACAATTTTTGTTATCTCGTGCACGACCTTACTGACTATTATGTAAATAACGTCTTGTAAAGACATTCAATCAGTTTAATATGTTTGTTTGATAAAACAGTAAGAACGTGATTAATACGGTTCTGTGATAGTTTACATTTGAGTTACTTATTTACAAGACGTAATATCAGAAATGCATTTAACATTTTGACGGTAGCTGTCGCGTATTAGTGATTTCATTTTTCATGCCTTTATTCCTCTGCTTATTTTTATCTATATTTAATGCGATTTAAAAAAGGAATAATTTAACATCTTACGTTAAATAAAGCTACTGGGAATATTTTTCCATTTGATATTTTCCTATTTTTCCATTGGAAATTTGAAATATTTTACATTAGAAATTTACCTAATTTTCTATGCATTAGCAAGTATTAAGTGACTGGAAAAATAAAAGCAAATAAACGTCAAAAGACTTATCGTATCGAGTAAAATATTTGTAAAACTAGTTTCACTTAACTGTTATCGGAAGCGCTACCAATATGATAATACATTTGGCCTTGAGATTTATGAAGCTGTATTCTATTAATCATATGCAAAACTCCAATGAATCATGAGTGATAATGATTCACTTAATCCTTAACCCCATGAAAATGAACACTGCATTAATGCAACACCTCACTTGCAATTTTAGAAAATATTCATTACCAAAAGAAGATCAGTCGGTTCGCCTTTTTCGTTTTCCTTAAACATCATATTGTTGATCCAACAATCTCCATGATTTAATACACAAAATTCATCGGGATCGTATTTATACGCGTCAATACAACGGGTACCAATAGTTTCCGCCACTTTAATTAATTTATCCGCTGCGTTCGCACATTTTTTGTCTTCCCAATTTCGTATCTCATTGCTTATTCGTATAAGACTTACTTCCATCAGTCGTAAGTAGCTTGTCGGGCATTTAGGTGACACTATGCCACCGTTTCTGAAAAATTCAATCGTTTCTGGATCCTGTAAAATTTATTCGAAATAATATTAAAAACCAATTGAATTAAAAAAAAATTAGAGAGTATTGTATTTACCTTTTCGAAAACTGCAACAGACCCAGCATGTAATTTCGCAATTTGTTGAATAGCTAAATTACAATGTTCAAAGGACAACCCTTTCTGTCGATTTTTCATAATGAATCCTCTGTTTTTTAAATCTTCCATCATAAGAACCGGAGGATTATCGCTGCCGTACCACAAATGTGGTCCCAATTGGCAACTCATCAATTGTTTGATTTTTGGCAGAACATCACGTAAGACTTTTAATTCGATCAAAAACAGATCCTGCTGACGAACAAGGTCTCTCGGTACGTCGTTTAAGGGTTCAATTTTAATAAAAACATCGGTCGAACGTTCAGATTTCGTTTTCTCCTTCTTCGATGTCACGGTGTATCGTACAGAAACTTCAAACAGATCACTTAGAAAATTCAACCCTATATCCGAGATAGGATTGTTCTTAATTTCCAGTACCTGTACCGTTTCGTCTGATTTCCTCCGAAGCGCTTTTTCGAACAAGTGTTTGTCGATTTTCAAATGCTTCACTTCCATTCTGTAAACTGCCGGCCAATTATCAGCTAATTAACAATTGTTTATATTTAGTTGTAAGAGTTTATCTGAGAAAAATACCGGCTGTTTTTCCAGTTCACCTTCCCTCCTGGATACCATTTAAAAAGAAATAATTTTTTACAAGATAATCTTTGTCATAGTTAACAATGTTCAGGTATTAATTTTCACCTCCTCGTACTAATCATTATTGATGATAAACTCATACAATCATTTTTTAAATTTATAAGATAACAAATATAATGTTTATCTCTTGAGAGATTTTTCTTAAAATAGTACTTACGTGTTTTGTTTCATATAAAGCTTATTATTTTAGGTTAGATTTGATATAATTTAGGTTAACTCTATTTCATCATTTTTTTTTTTTTTTTACTTATCAGTTAAAATTTAATTACTGAAAGTGAATTAATTAAATAAAGTTCAATGTCATGTGAGTAATGAGCTTGGTCTTCTGTCATAATATACAGAAGATTGTTATTTTTACAAAAAATAAAATACTGTTCCATGAATATATAGAATCTTCATATTCAAATATAAATTACATAAATTATATGAATAATATAATTCTCATAAAAAACGATACCTCTTCGCCTGTGTACACTTTTATTGATACTCTCTCCTTATCACATATACATTCTATTATAAATTATTTATTTTTATTTAATATCACACGCTTTCTACATACACCCACAGTTACTCCTACTTAATATTCAATTTTTCCTGTGGAAACTGTTCTTTTATCGGTACAATTATTGCAAATACAACTTTCGATAGTTACACAATGTTACATATTATTTTTACTATTTTATTCACATAGAGGTGAAACTAGAAAATAATGTAAAATGTAAAACAACGAAACCGCAACGTAAATTACTAACTTTTACTCACAATATCTACTGTACACGCAGCTAAAACAATTTTCAACATACCTAGATTTCACAAAACACGTTCGAATTACAGAAGATTTTCTAGGTGTGCAGATACTTTTGTCCCTCGGAGGAATGCTCCTTTCTCGTCACGCGTATAGACTCGATTGACTGCTGCCTACTCATTATACACCACAACTGTGTCATTGGGTTGTTATTCGTTCCGACTGCACTTCACTCTTGATAACAAGGAAGTCATTTCTCAGGGCTGTATCACATTACTCAATAACCCGTTATTTATAATTGGATATTCATTAACCGAGCCGCACAAATATAAATTAATTTACCCCTTTAAGTAGACAAAACTTATGAGAAATAGAAACGTTTTTAATTCATAAATGTCCTCTTAAACGCAAAAACTTTTCATATAATTATCTCTTCTTTTTTTTCTTTTGCTGATTTTAAAAAAAGAAAAAAGTGAAACCAGAATTTGGGATCCAGTTTAAAATTATAACCGTGGCGGTCGCTTAAACAAAGCCCGGCCGACTATAAAGGTAAAAACAAAATAGTAGAAAAAGAAGAGGGATGATTTATTATACTTGTGGACATCTTGGAACATTTCAACGATATTTCGAAAAGCTTCTTGCCCGGTGAACTGCGGTAACCGAGGAAACGACTGTTGGCTTACCGCATGTCTCATAAAAGTTTTTACCCCGGGAAAAATTTGTTGGAAATGTCGAAGACGAAGGTGAAGAGAGAAAAAGCGATGGGAAAACGAGAGGTACGGTAGCCGTTTTGTGGCCCCCTATAAAAGTTATACGATGGGTCCGAGATCGGCGTGGTACTCGAAAAATTTGCCATCCCCGAATGATTTGTGAGCTTTCTGTGATTCGACCTGGACCGTGGTTTCCCCTTTATTCTGGTCAGTTTTTTTTTACGGTTAATACTTTCCAACATTGAACTCATTTCTATCTTCATTAAATGAAAAAAGAGTTAACGACTTAAAAGTTACTTTTCACTTTTTTATACCTTCTAATATTTCGCAATTATATGCACAACACTTAAGTGTCTATATTGCAGATATACATTAGGAAGAGATACGTGAATGTTATCGTAATTGCTCGATATGTTATCAATAGACTTCGAAATTTATTGCAGAATTTATGCAATTATAACATATCAGAAAGTGCAAAATGTTAAGTTAGTGCAAAACATGCTCAAAATGCTTGTGAAATATTTTTAATACGTGCCTATACGTATTTATTATAATTATAATTAATTATAATTTGTGTTGCAATACTTAGAGCCCTTCCTCTTTACCTACAAAAGTCTTCGTTAGATTAGAATAAATGTATAGTACCGAGCATGGTGGCCTTACATAGAATGGGAGGTTCCATGTTAGGTTAGATTATGTTCTTCCATGGTTCCTCAAAAATCCAGGAGCCTACATTGCAGACAAGTGTACTAGGTGATGGGAGGTAGCCCAAGAGGTGGTACAAGTACAGTGTCCCTTGGCGTGATGTGCCATGGTGCGATATGGCGTGGCGTAGCGTGCCGTGCGCGCGAGTTGAAGGTACCCCCTATGGGTTAGGGGCACCCCTACCTCGCGACGACCGTTTGTTCAGTTTGGTCCGAGTTTACGAGCCTGCTGAGCCACAAAATTTACGGTACCCTCTTAAAAGCGATCCAAACACGTACCGGTCCATTCCAGGGCATCGTTTAGGAGTATGGCGTATACCTTGCCACGCGTTTTGCCTCCAAAACTCGGATTCATGCTGCTGCCCTTTATTGCACTGCTCCTCTCCCCTTAGTTTTCCTACTGTTACTTCCTTCCTTTTCCTCTCCTTAAATCTCAACATTTTTTAACCCTTCCATCATAGAATGTGTCATATAATTGATCGCACGATCAGTAATGTAAAAGTTTAAATAATTGCAAAATTGTAAAATTTATATGGAGTATAGTTTTGATCTGGAAGTTTGAAAAATATCCACGTATTATTGAATCGGGTACCGCAATAAGAGACCCCTCATGTGCAAGCTCCTTGTGTGTAATCAAGTTAAAAATTTATATAAAACACTGCCAGATGATCGCGAACGATGTTAGGGCAGAATGACATAAACTCGGTTATATAAAACAAATGCAGGAACACGCGAATGGGAAGCCCCAGTGTATCTCTGTAGCAGAAGAAACCCTTTCGAAGAATCTTTACATATGCATGGACCACCAGTGATACCATAGAAAATCATCACCCCTTCCACAGCACACACGAGCAACCCCCTTTTGTTTTCTCTACGTCATAACATAGTAAAGTTTATAAATACACTTCGTTGATAATGAAGTAACATTAATGAATTGTTTGATAACAAATTAATCATTGATTTCTTCATTTTACTATTAGGGTACAAATTAGGGTACATCCTGCTTACAGAAATTACAGAAATTCTAATTGTTGAGAATAAATAATAATTAATTAGTAAATTTTTAATTTCAAGCTCTTCCAATTTTTTAGATTTAATAATAGGACATATTAAAAGTACAAATTTAAAATTTGCTGGTTATTATTTCAAGACAATAATTTTTTACCAGTGATAGGAGCCACCAGTAACCCCTAGCGCATTCAAAGTTGTTAAAGTGAATAACTGTGCTTCGAGGAAGGGAGAGATGAACCACGACAATAAATAGGAAAGCGGAGAACTTTCACCCTACAATCTTCCGGAAAACCTGACCTCAGAAGAAACAAGATCTATGCAAGATTTATTGAACGTGGATTTCTTCTAGGTAATGGTGGTCATCTTCGAAGTTTCTATGATCGTAAAATAAAATTGGGGAGTCTCTTGTTTGTGGACTACCATTGTTCCATTAATTTCGTTTGCAAACTATCATTGGCTCGTATAAAAGGTGGAAATATTCGTGAAGAAATACTATAAACCTAAATCTCTTATATTGCACGGATCTAATTTAACCTTGGTGCTAATCATAAACCAGTCATAATACTTGTGCATATAGAGAGGATAATAATAATATGATGATCGTAAGCCATTATCTGATAAAAAAGTTAAATTCGTGTTATCTTCATGGATTTTACAATCTTATTTTTAATTTAAAACTAAAAAATGAATAATATTAAATTATACTTAAATTGTTGCTATTTGTGGCGACTGAGGGTAAAATTTGTTAAGCTTATATTTTACAATACTTACAAGAACAGTAACTACGTGTCGGTCGGCATACTGCAGCATCATACGAAACTGTCAATTAGGAATCTGTCGGTGATTTCAATATCTGCTGAATCGATCCTTTTCGAACCGTTCACAGTATGTCAGAGGTAATTGTTTTCCAATTTGCTTTGCTTTGTACTTACAACGAATTATTTCTCCAAAGAACATAAATATACACATGGAAGATAAATGTTACTTTCATTAAATTTATTTGTCAATGTTGGAAATATTTTGTTTTAAATGTAAATTATTGTTTGAACTAAATTATACGTTTTAAGTATCGAAACAATGTTGAATGATACCGCCGTCGAATGAAATTAGTGTTTCACACAATTGAAACTTTCTGTCTAACATATCACATCTTGTAATTAATTACTTTCTGATAACTGAGGATGAAACAAAGAAGTAATATTACAATTGAATTAATGAGGTGTCCTTCGGCTACACAAATATGTTCTATAATTGACGATAATTAAAAATACACACGTGTTATCCGAAATGTGCAAATCAGGAATTTATCATTAAAAAGGAGAAACAAATACAGAGGGTGAAAAACAACCGAAGAAAATTCAGCAAACTTAGTTTTAATATTATATGACATTCTTCGAAATTTCAAAATTAATTAATATTAAAATTTGAAGCAAAACATTTCCTATGCCATATTAGAATTGTTAATATAATATTAATTTAATACAATAATCTTAACTACGTATGAGATAATAAGTTACGAACATTTCCATTCTGCTGCGACATCTCTTTGTGCCTACTACCAATTTATGAAGCTAATAAATCAGAAAACAATGAGATATATCAAATAATTAATATTAATAATCGAACGTGTAATGTACTATCACTCGTCTTAAAATAATTTGATATATTAAAGAAGACTTGTCACGGTTTATGGACATTGAACCGTTAATAATTTATTAATTGAATCTGTTAATTTAATGTGTGACTGATAGGAAGTACCTATTTTTGCTCTGAAAAATAACAATGTTGCAGATGAAAAGAGAAACGATAACAAAATTTTGTTTAAAGTTGTACCAGGTGTATATGCGTATATACAGATGAAACAGGAGAGACTTTCACAATTCTGTATCCGAGTAGCGATGATATTATTTAACAAACAAGCCGGATGGAGGGCTTACCAGGGTACTGTTACCACTAATCTTTGCAACGACTTTAGCACGCCTACATGTGAACTTATTCATCGGTAATTAAGAGATTAAACCGTGTTGCATGACACCGTCTTACAGCCTCTCTTCTTTTCTTCTTTTTCTCATTAGACTATACGTTTACTAAATTACATATCTGTTATCTCGATCACCTTGCTAGGTGTACACTTTACGTAACGAAATACACTATTTCCCTGGATAAATAATTTGCACGGAAATAACATATTACAGTACACTAATATAATTTTCAAATTTTTAATTACAAGCTTTGTAAACACTTCTTTCCTTATTAGTATAATAATAAGTAATGCTGTCGAAAATAATTTTTTTTTTAATATGGAGTGTCGATCGTTAATAAGTCTGGATGGATCAAAGAAAAATTCTTATACACTGGAGTATTTCGAAGCAATATTGTTTTTATTCTCTTGTAAATGTAAAGAGAGAGAAGCAATTGTTCAAAGTCCATAAGGTCCAGCATTTTCGAAGGCGGACTATTACGCGAATGCAACGGGACGTCTCGATTGGTACGGACGTACAACCACGCACGTATTCGCGGTACAAGACTGAAAGGACACGTCTCGAATATTTTACCCCGGGAGTTTTTCCTCTTTAATTGATTCAATCGGCGAAAAACACGGCAGGACCGCTTCACCCTCCGGGAATGTTCGCCCACCTCCACGTCATCCACGCTTTCAGCAACCAACCACTGTAACGAGACGCTAGAACTAACCTCCCTTTTCGATGAAAACGCCAACCCCTCTTCGCGGTTTACTCCCCGTTCCCTCTCTTTCTCTTTGTCTCTCTTCTCCAACTTTATTTTACCTTTTTTTTTATTATTATTATTTCCACCTGCTCGCCGCTTTTTCCCTTCCGCGTCTAAACTCCCTTCATTCTTTGTAATTTATCAATCATCACCTGTATAGTTTCGTTTCGAAACTAGTTTAAGTTCCTTTTCCTAAAGAAAAGAAAAAGAATTTAGGTTTCTCTAAGGAAAATGACGTTGTAAAGGAAAAGACCTCATCATTCTCTAATATTCAATAATTAAAAATTAATATCTATGATTATAATTATGATTATAATTAATATCTACATATTGCTTAAGATTTTAATATTTTTATGTATAACTGGCGGGGCCTCCTTTCTCGATACTGTACTTTTCTCCATTTAAATGGTACTCCCTATGTTTTTTTGCTTCCTCTAATTATTATTATACTCAGGAATATGTAAAGAATCTGTTCTTCTTGTATTGAAACACTTCTAGAGACGTCGTATGAAAACATTTATGAAGATATATGAATTGAAACATTGTTGACATTTTCATTGTACATCTCGGTTGGAAATGTTCTGGGAACAGAATTTTCCATAAATTACTGAAACTCAGAGATTTTCGGTTTATTATTTTAATTAGAGCCTTCAGGCCATATTTAACGAGTGTCTGCATTCATATTGTGTACCTCGCTGAAAGGACCATGGAACCATGATAATATTATCGTTTCTGTGAGTGTAATCCACTCGTGTAACAGTACGTTCCAATTTATTACTTTTTGCATTTACTTATAAATAATATCGAAGAAAAATTTATTCCGTACTTGTTACTTTCTTCTGTTTCGAATTTTAATATCATAAAAAATGAAACAATTCAACGTTATTTTAATAGAAAGAAATAACGTAAAGAACGTTTCGGTGTTTTTTTACCGGTTCTACGGGAAATCCGCAATAAAATTGTCATAAGCCGAAAAAGGTCCAGTTTTTTCCGTTACTGTGACAACAGCAGTGGCACTTATTTTTTGCCGTTAGATAAGTCCCGTTAAAAAAGGCGTAAAAGAATAATTTACAACCCTAACGTTTTTTTAATCGGTCAGTCAAAGAAGGTAAAATAGAAACATTTCTGCTAGGTAAATTTCTTCGACTGGCATACAAAAAATGAAGCGCGTAAATTTTTAAGGGTTGAATGTTTGCTCGAAAACAGACAACCTCCCTATAAACCGATAAAAATCCGTTACTTTAAGAGATGACTTTTTGACTCCGTCCTTTTTTGTCAGAAGTACCGCTTTTTTGCCTCCAAGGATGCAGCATTTCAAACAGTTCTTAAAATCAGTTGCAGACAAATCTTTTTGCTTAAGATTCATAGATTCTACAATATTTCAGAGTGTTAATAACTAACTAGCGGGAAGTTGAAGAATTTATTTGTGTAAAAGAACAAAGCACGCGTCTCGAATAAAACGCAGATGGGGCCAATATTGATCAAATAGCGCGTGGAATATTTTGAAATCGGATATTTTACTTTAGTGTTCATAGAGTTCAGAAGAACCGCTTTTAATGACCCGGACGTGGATAGCTCCACCTAGTAATGTCGTATTCAATTCCAACCTCCGCACAATCTCAAGGTAAATCTTCTCCTGATTCTTCAACCCCTTTCGCCCCTGAAATTCGGCTCATGTTACTCACTTTGTTACCTCTTACGTGTGCTGTTCGCTTTAGAGTTTGCGTTCATTTTCTTGCTCCTTTTTCAAATTGTTCAAGGAATACCTTTGTAATGTTTTGCAATAAGTTCTGTCAATTAGCGTTTATTATTTTTCATAATTTATATACACGTAGTTGCGTACTTATTTACGTGAATTGATTCTCCGGAACGTTTTACATAAACAGCTTTGAAAGGGTGAATCTACATAGAAAGAAAAATGGATTAGAAATGTTCAGTGATATTTTTCTGTACAAGGCTTCATTTCTGAATAAATTAATCTTGAAAGTTCATTGAAATTTTTATATTTTAAAAAGATCGCCATAATTTAAAAACCATGTGGCGTCGACTAGTGGTTGGTGCTCAAAATGAGCTTTTTGAGTTCACCGATAGAGAGAGCGCAAAAATTACATCGAATTTTAGTTCTCGTCGTTATCATCAGACGGCGTCTTTTTTCATCATGGCGTCGCATGTTTCCCTAATAATCGCGGTTTTTTTAATATGCAAAAATTCTAATGCGTCTGTCACTTTTTACGACAATGCAAAAAATTAAAAAATTGAAAGTAATGATATTAAACAATGCCCACTGCGCAAATGAACTTTGCTTAGAGAATAAAAATACGCAGAAAAAGTGCGATTATATTTATGTAATAAGCCGCGAAGATTGCGCAACAGTATTGAACCTTCGTAAAATTAATTTCTATCGGTCCGATAATCGAACACGTTTACTCGTAAAAACGGTTCATTTCGTGGTTCACACTGTCGACAGTCATTTTTATCAATGAACCAATTAATAAATCGCATAGTTTGTGCCAGTCAACAAGCGTTGCTTAGTAAGAAGTTGTGCACTGTTACTGTAAGAGGATTTCGTGTATCGGCTCAAAATATGGTTATCGCTGTAAGTTGGGCTTTGTTTGAGATTTAATAAATAGCAAAACAGAGAATTTATTTATCACAACTTTTATGATATTTACAGACTATATTTTTAACCATATATTTTTATGGTTCATCATTTAATTTATATATAAGTTATTGATTTCTCTGCGTAGGTTGGTGATAAACTACCGGCAATTGATCTTTTTGAAGATACACCCACAAACAAGGTGAATCTTGCAAAACTTGCAGCTGATAAAAAAATTGTAGTCTTCGGAGTACCAGGAGCATTCACACCAGGATGTTCAAAAGTATATATTTTTAAAAGCATTTCTTGTTGGATTTAATTTAAATAAAAAATATATTGTGTACTTTAATACTGTTTAAATTTTGTATAAGTACAATAACATTTTAGACACATCTTCCTGGTTATATTCAAAAAGCTCAGGAATTGAAATCTAAAGGAATTGCAGAAATTGTTTGCATATCTGTAAATGATCCATTTGTAATGGCAGCATGGGGTAAAGAACACGGAGCACAAGGGAAGGTAATATATTTTATATAAGTAGTTTGATAATTAATTTGTATATGAAAAGCTGGACACATTCTTTTAATCTTTGTTTTTATATAGGTACGCATGCTAGCAGATCCTGCAGCTCAATTTACAGATGCATTAGGATTGTCTACAGATTTGCCTGTACTTGGTGGAAAAAGAAGTAAGCGTTTCTCAATGCTACTTAATAAAGGAGTAGTTCAAGAATTAAATATAGAACCAGATAATACAGGTCTTTCTTGTTCCTTAGCAGAAAATCTTAAAATGTAAAATGTGCATTTCTAAAAGTTATGTAGTCATATTACTATTTATAAGAGTATAAATTCTTGATTCTATTACAAGCTGTTGTAATAAAATATTATTAAACGAGTCGTTTATATGGATTACTATGTTGAACTCAGCTTTTTTATTGTGCCAATGTGTTTTCGCGACATTTTCCTGATAAAACAGTTTCTACAAACAATTGTTGTTTTTTAATCATCAAAACTGGTCATCTAAAATCTTCCTTACCCGACTAAAACGGTATCTGCCTTTGTTTTTGTGGACTCATGACATAGGGGACATGCCTCTGTTCTCAAAGGGTCCTGAATTTGTGCCTTGAGAACGAACGCCATCTGCTTTATCCTAGTATGAAAATCAGAAATACTTCGTACTGCAACAGTCTAACGCACTTGGATGGTAATAACAGATTGATTCGATATCAAAAACTATACCCCATTACTCATTCTCAGTCAGTGTCAGGATTTCAGCCTTGCCATATTACAGTAACAAGAGGAGCAGCAAGAAGAGGTTGATACAGTCCTTCTCTCAACACTAGATATGCCGGTTTCACCACCAAAATGATGAATGAAGTGATGAATCGTATTCTGTTTGTAATTTGTTAAAGATCAAACAGTTGTTTTATATATAGAAAATACAAATACAATTTGAATTTAATCGGTAAAACAGAAATCTAACTTAACAAAGTGAAATGTAAATCCGCCATATCGTTTCGAAAACTTGATCGGTATGTCGTCGAGTAGTTTGAGCCATTTTTGTATAGATGGTGCTACAATCGAAAAGTAGAAGTATATACATACACCTTCCTAATCTTTTGACGTCCGAAGACAGACGGCTCCAGCGCGAGGCGGCTAATTTATAAAATCACCTACATACGTGGGAACTATACTTGACTTCATTGTATATTAATTTCATTTTACTAAATTTGAAAATTCTCACAATTTTTTTAGTTGCTTTTAGTGCTAACGAATCGCTCGTTAGAATTATAGCGCAATTTGAAGTTGCCTCCAAGGCTTGCAACGCTCGGTATGACAATATTCATATCACTGTTTGGAAGTACCGTCACATAATATAGTTAATTGTAGCAGCTTTCAACATTGTGTTCCGCGTTCCTTCGAGATGAATTGAAATTACTGCCAGGATGTCGGATTACTCGACGGATTCGTTGGAGGACACGAACGAGGTGTCTCCGAGGAGTCCAGATTCTTTGCTGAAGAACAATGTCAGTCCCAACCTACAGCCAATTAAAGCTACGAATGATTTATCACACGATGTTGCCTGTCGCTTGAAACCTACCAATTCCCTTTTACCACGTAAACAAGGCAAGAATAAAATTATCAATGTTTCCTGTTCATTTTATATTTCAACATAAAATCGACGGAAAGTCGCTTAGGACACCTTGCAAAAAGTATATACATGCTGAAAATTTGATCTTTTCTTGAAAAATGAATGGTCTCGAGGAGAGTATCGATCCAACCGAAGAATCTGTCCCTCCTTAAATTTCTCTTTTTTAGCTCTTCTGGAAATGTTTCAGATACCGGATGTAATGAAACCACGCCGGGCATTGGTGCCAGTAAAGACAAGGGGACAGTCGGCAGCAGGAATGCGATAATTGCGAGCGGAGACACGTACAAACGACGACGCCCGGCGTCCTCAAAGAACAGAAAAGTAGACGTCACGGATAGCCTTAAAAGAAACGTAAGATCACAAGCCTGCTGGGTATTCATTTTAACCATACCATCAAGTAGCGCAACTATAATTCAAGTTCAACGAGGGTCAAAGTCTTTTCATAATAACTAAATGATCCGTAATCGCTTCATTTATACAAAATTAATGTTATATTTATTTCAACTCCTCAGAATATAGACAATTCGAAGCAAAAGAAGGAGGTTGCCAAGAGGGTGGTTGCACCTCGGTGTACTAAAGGTTCCGCAAAGGCGTTCACGTTGAAACAAAATTGTTGCTCCAAGGAAAGTTCGATGCCTGTGAAACGAGAGAAAAAGTTTGGCAATGTATCCACATCGAATACTCGACAGACGATGGAGTGTTCCTATCTGGAGCTTCATTGTCGCAGATTCAGTTAGTCTAAAATGAGATAACGTTCTGCCTTCTTCTGTGATCGACGTAAGGTTGCGTCGGGACGATACCGGAACAGCGCAATTTTCTTTGGGAACGTTTACTTTGGCCGTGATTAGATGTCCCTTCCGCGTCGGTGATATATATATATATCCAAGGCGGAGGATTAGAACACACGTTGACCCTTCCTTGTTTGTTTCTTCCCTTCTCATTTATTTGCAGTCCCTCTGCCGTACTGCTTTCTTGTTGTTTGGACGCATCGAGTCTTTCTGCAATTTCAAACGTGTCCACAGCCTCGACTCGGTTCGTGAGAGGATTGTTTTCGGACGGAAGGACATTTTTAAAATGTTAGACGCGGCAGGCTGCAAAGTATTTGAAAATTACACAAAGGAGTTTAAAGGGATCTTGGAGTTTATACCAGTTTTGGAAATTTCCAAACAATCAACTCGAAGTGATTTAATTTTTCCCAAAAGCAATCAAAGTACACACGAATTCCTTTTTCAATCCTCCAGTAATTTCACCCCACTTCTTTTTTAGCCAAGAAATAGTAGTTACAGGAATTAGTGTCCACTGTATGGCACTAAGCCAATCACGAACAGCCCCTTCTTCGTTCACCCCTTAACTCCATCACTCTCATCCTGATGACATTGGGATAAACTTCGTTCCAAACGTGTGTCATAAAATATTACACATATTCGGTTAAGCTTTTCCTTCCGTGTCTATCGATCAGTCACGAGTCCGTTTAACGTAATCCACGCTCTTCAAACATTAATTCGATCCGTCGCGTCGCACGTGTTGCCCGCAGTTTGCAGCAGTCATCCCTTCGGGTGCGGTATCGTCCTGGGGGTCTAGCGCACGAGCAATCTAATTTAAAGCGATTCGCGATGTAGAAGATCGGCAAGAAAGATGCATTTTCGTATCGCGTTGCTCGCAGGTGGACCATGGTACACCGTTCGATCCCCCAAGGGTTCTACCTTGTCGGTTTGGGGGGACAGCCACCAAGAGGAGATCACAGACGACGAGACACGTTCGTTGGCTAGCCCGAGGGACGATCAAAGCGAGCTGAGCTTTTATCGGCGTCTAATCGAGGCATCCAACGATCCTTTGGCCTCGGCCATCCGATCCTCCGAAACTGTGCATCAACCAGACCTACAGGACACGGACCTCCTCTCCTCCTCCTTCTCCTTCGACGAGAGAGTTAAGCAACCGTCCGACGATAAATCGAAGAAGAGCGTGGGATATCGGCCGTACACCATCGAGGAGTACAAGACCTTGTCGATTCCGAAGCTCGATCGATCTCTTGGGCCCGATAAAGTCGAGATGCAAGCGAAGGTAGGTTCGTTTCCTTTCTTGACTATCTTGACTATCTTCTTGTACATCCTTTGACCACGCTTAATTGCGTTGGGATTTATTCGTCACGCGATCATGATTGGAGGACAGAGGATGGGGAATGATGTTGGCTGTGTAAAGCTAGAGTTTACTTAGCTGTGATCAAAGATGAGTATTTTGTTTTTGATAAGTAAATTGGGTAATTTGTCAAAGGTTCAAAGTGACATTATTTCGATACGTGATATATACAGAAATATATTTGTGGGGCATTTTTATATTCATAAGACAGGAATTTCATTTTTGATGATTCGCGGATAAGCGTCGGCTGGTCGGTTGAAAGTTGAGTTACCAAAAGTTCGAACAGAGACATCTCGCAATCTTGTTTCCTTGTCCCACCGGAAGTTAACCTGGCGGCGACGGGAAAGCGGAGTAGAAGAAACTTCGCTTCCGTCGACCCATCACAGTTTACAATTTCACGGAAGACCTAAAGCGAGTTAGCTTGTCGCCCGTCTTCGTAACTTCAATCTAATAAACATGCGGCCGTTTCCTCGCAGCTACCTTGTCATTTACTTACTTCCGGTTTCTTCGCATGAATTCTGTCGAACTTGTGAATCGAAAAATACATACGTGGAAAACTATCGAATAGAGAATTTCTTAAAACTATCTACAATACAATAATTCTTCATTTTATTAAATTCTTTGTTATTTCAAATCCATAAAAGGGATGGTAATATCAAAGACACTCGAATTAATTAGTACATTTGATAATTGCATACGTTTCCTTAACGAGCCACTGAAAGATATCGTTTCACGATGAGAAAGATTTTCGAAAAGTCGGTCGCGATGCTGTTCTTTCGAGACGGCATTCTGAGCGGCGTGCCGACGTGGCTCCGGTAGCCGCGCGACGCCGAGCGTACGCCGGGGAAATAGTTGTCGTCGTCGTACTCAGAGACACAGTAGATTCCAGGAGCCTTTGAGCTAAATACTCGAGAGTCGGCAGGGTGTTCCGTAAATTTTTCAGACTCCATAGTACCGCGAACTGAAATTCAAGGGGGAGAGAGTAAGACGGAGATCAGCTGCTCATGGACTCGCGCATATTTTCCTATAGACACGTATCCGCATTCCTGCTCGTTTCCAAGGAACCGGAATTCCATTGATCTGATCGCGTGCCGTTATCAGGAAAACGATTTTACCGGATTGGAAATTAAAATTTCAATGGATCTTCTGCACACTGACCGTCATAGTTGAAATGTACGCTCATGAATAGTCTCTTTTATCGTCGGCTCGACGGAAGTTGTACACAAAAGGAAATGTACAAGCCATGAGTTCTTAGAGGAAAGTACAGCATTTATCTGTAGGTACATGTATTTGTCGTTCATTCTTCCGCCATTATCTAGAATTGCATTAAGTTGGTAGGAGGGAGATAAATGCACCGATACACGGTGAATAAATTTGTTCCTGGCGGACGCGTCGTCGGGAACAATTTAAATGAAATGCCGACCGAGGTCAACGAGCTGGAACAAGGGGACAAGAGAGGTACGCCATAATGCCCATAATTACACTGACTCTCCAGAGGTTGTATTAATATTGCCCACGGTTTAACTTGCCATGATATTAACCATGCAACGACGTGCATTAACTGGTGCGGTTTCGCGACAGAATGATGAGACGGGTAAACAGAGAAACGTAAAAACAGGGG